ATTTCCTCAGCGACCAGCACGGATCAGCTCCAGGCATGATGAAGCAGATATCATCCTCTTTTGGAAGGCCAAACAAAGTAGTTTCGCTTTCACAACGAAACACAGCGCCTTCACGACTTGGCGGCGGTGGCGGCAACAACAATACTACAGCAAGAATAAAAGTTACGCCTTCTTTCTTTGCGTGAACATTTGGGCAGCGTTATGCAAATCTTCCCACATAGTGACGTAGACATGTGGGGGCATGTTAGAACGAGCCGTTTTAGGTAGGCGTGGCTGACTCTTAACTTTAATAAGGAATATCTCTTTGGATTTGAGACTTTAGTCTTTGCAACTTTACAGATCTTCTTTATGCACCAAGAGCTTGTAACACTCCAAAGAGAAAGCAAAAATTTAAATCGCATCATATGACCCCTTTAAAATGTATAAATAAAACTGATCAGAATTAATTATATATTCATACATATATCACAAAAATTATAACTGAAGAGTGTAGTATAGTTGTTGATGGAGGATCATTACCTGTGTCTGAAGGCTCATAGCGATCAATCAGCTGAAGGGCATGTTCATAACTGCCCTCCCCCTCTAGCTGCTCCTCTCTCAGGAACTCCTCCAGATCACACTGGGACAGACTCTGTCCATCACTGGAATAACCCTGGAATAAATCCAGCACCTCTGTTCTCTCAGTAAGCATTTTATAAAACTCCACAAACTCCTGATCCTCCAGGGTTCCTGACTCAGACTTATCTGCCATCTGTGAGAAAACGTCAACAAATGACAATGAGGTACAACATGGTGAAAATGTATGATCCAAAATCACATAAGCCACTCATAATTACCATAAAAAGACAGCATGCATGTTCTTCATTCATGTCCACGTTCATCATTTTCAGTAATTTTTTTGCCTCCTTAAAATTAATTCTGCCATCCTTGTTTAGATCTGCTTTCAAAAACCAGTCTGAGATCCAGCTGAGTGGAATGGTTTAGGTTGATAATTTAAGTTGATAGTGAACAGCTGGATTTCATTAATCTATCTATCTATCTTTGTCTGTCTGTCTATCTATCTATCCGTCCATCTGTCCTTTTATCATTCCACCCATCCATCTGTCTGTCCATCCATCCATCTAACTTTTTCTTGATATTTTAACATGTAGTTCTGAAAAGCTACTTTAAAAGGGGCAGAAATTAAGATTTTCTTAACAAGGATACTGGTCAAGTTTGGTGCTCTCATCCATGTTCTCCATGTTCTCCATGAGGGCTCTGATGCCCTGAATCCAGGCCTGAGCTTCCTTTGCTGAATCAGCCACCAGGTCCAGGTTTCCTCTACGGCCGCGAAACACCAGAGTGAAACAGCAGACTGCGGGAAACTCATCAGCCACACTAAGGAGCGCCTCGGACTGATGTCCCTCACGAACAACTTCCACATCACTGATGGAGACTGAAAAAACCGCAAAGACAATATAAGCTTTTGTTTAGAGCACTTCTTCTTAGTTTTCAAAAAATGTGAACTAGAGCTTGAAAAGGCAAGCTTCATTATTATTAATTCTTCATGCTTTCTATTGTTCATAGGGAAGCAAACGAGCTCTGGATTTCCAACTACTGTCATATCAGATCTACTTCCCTGACATACCTACTAATAGTACTCACCACAAATGCCACTAATATACTCCTTTTGGATTTAATTCAAAATTACCTTGAAGTACAATCAATAACTGCTGATACTTCATGACCTTTATTTTCTATGCAATTGCTAATGGATTGATCACAAATAAGATGTTTTGTTTTGGCAGTCCATACATATTTTCTTAAATAAATCAGTCATTTTTATCCCATCTTCGATCAATTAGACACATTTTTTATAACTAGACCTGAACTAACATGATTACTGAAGCATTTAAACAAAAACATCAACTCAATAAGTGCGTACAGGTAGAATAAGAGTTTATTGCCCAGCTGGATTTATATGCGATAGTCTTGCAGTCCTCTTGAAGTTTGTAGTGCCGCGGACGCTTCCAACTACGAGACCTCACTTTGCGCAGAAACATGCCTGCTTTCATGGCTTCAAGGTTTTGATGACCCTGTTCACCTGCCAGAGAATGAGAAATGGCCTTTAGCAATATTCAGAAACACCAAGCTTATTTTAAACACAAACACACACACACAGGATGACTTACAGCATGTTTGAGGTGATTCCATTTTCTATTAGTTCCCCTTTTCTGCAGACACAAATGAAGATTAATGTATCACCATCTCATCAAAAATTCACATTTCAGTCTATACTAAAGACCTGGTGCACATGTGTGGTTTGAGGCTAGAGACCTGCACGGGACGGATTTTTCCAAGGCAAGGCAAGGCCAGGCAAGTTTATTTATATAGCACATTTCATACACAATGGTAATTCAAAGTGCTTTACATAAAAGAAATGAAAAAATTATAAAAAATAATAATAATCACAACAATAAAACAAGGAATTTAAAACTTTGAAAAGGATTTACAAATTGATTTAAGAGGTTTAAAATGAATTTAAAACAGTTAAGAATAGAAAATGATTATACATCAAATATAGTCCAATCAGTTCGGACATAGCACAGTGCTCATTCAGTAAATGCACAGCTAAACAGGTGAGTTTTGAGTCTGCATTTAAATGTGACTAATGTTTTAGCACATCTGATCTCTTCTGGAAGCTGATTCCAACTGCGGGCGGCATAATAACTAAAAGCGGACTCCCCTTGTTTTGTGTGAACCCTTGGTATTTCTAACTGACTCGATCCTAGTGATCTGAGTGGTCTGTTAGGTTTATAATCAGTGAACAGGTGCATCTCAATAAATTAGAATGTCATGGAAAAGTTCATTTATTTCAGTAATTCAACTCAAATTGTGAAACTCGTGTATTAAATAAATTCAATGCACACAGACTGAAGTAGCTTAAGTCTATGGTTCTTTTAATTGTGATGATTTTGGCTCACATTTAACAAAAACCCACCAATTCACTATCTCAACAAATTAGAATACTTCATAAGACTAATAAAAAAAA